GTGAGGGTGTGGGTGTGGGTCAAGGTGTGGGTGAGGGTGAGGGTGTGAGTATGGATATAAGTGTGGGTGTGGGTCAAGGTGTGGATGTGATTGAGAAAGATAAAATCATCCACGCCCACCCTTCGAAGTTAACGTAAGAAAATGTCATAACAGAATGCTTCGCTACGCTAGGTGATTATTTTCTAGCTTTTTCCAATTTCGAGGTTTTACATTTTCGAGATTTGCTCTTCGAGATTTAACTTTTTCGAAATTTTGTATTTCGAAATATTTTTTTCGGGATTTTTTCGTTCGAGATTTTTATTTTCGAGATTTTGAAGGTAATCCAGGTCAGTTGGGTGGCCATGATGAGGGGTGGCTGGGTGTGAGTGAAAGGTCAAAAAAATATCGAAAATCAATTTTCTGGAGAAGACTTTTCTAGAGGTTATTCGATGCGTAGACTTCGAGTCTGAGGTCTGTTGAGTGACCATGGTTAAGGGTGGGTAGGTGTAGGTGAGATGTCAAAAAAAACATTGAAAATCAGTTTTCTGAAAAAGATATTTCTATAGGTTTTTCGATACGGGGAGTTGGAATCTGAGGACTATTGGGTGACCGTGTGGAGGGAAGCTGGTGAAGAGGGGTCAAAGGTTAAAAAGACATCGAAAACTGATTTTTCACGGTTTCCATTTGTTTTTCCGGTAAATGTGAAGAAATGCATTTTTACGAGAAAGAGCTAAGCGAGTCCTCGGAGGAGCGTTAATTGTTTTTATACTAGTCTGGCAATTCAGTCTTCATATTCTTCGCCTTCTTTTAACTCATTATCAATAATTTTGTTTTCTTTTAGATTACAATAGTTTCTTTTGTATTTAATTAATAATTCGTATGAACTTAAAGTATCTTTTAATGTTAAAGTACATAACAAAATCATATACAAAAATGAACCGTTCCCTGTTTGAATTAAAGTCGTAATGTGCTTGTATGGTTTTAAAAATAGGATCAATTGTTTGACTGTTGTTTTGTTCAAATCATATATTAATGATTGTTTCTTTCTAGCTAATAACAAACGTTTCGTTTGTTTCAAAGATTTTAACAAATTTCCTAAAAGGTTCGACATAGACAGCCACCTGACTACACATAATTGACGTAATGTGCCATCACTATCTTCTTTTATATCATTATTGATACCTGCCTAAAAGATAAGTTGAAACAAGATAATAAATATGAGTTGATACTAATGATGAATACTGTGTAGAGGAAACTTACTTTCTTCACATATTTCACAATCTTTTTGCATTTCTTCAAAACTTCAAGAACTTGCTTAGTACATAATGGAATTTGACCCGTGGTCATTTTTACCGACGAGACTGATTACTCATTTGTTGTTATAACAGTCTTTCTCGAATGAAATTTCTTTTGTTTAATAATTGGTAAAACAATAGCATGATCATACTCATCATTACTTGATGACTGACTACCATCGTCAGAAGATTCATGATTTCCTTTTTTAGTATTAGTAGCTACAGTTATTTGTTCGTTCGGTATTTGATTTATCTGTAGCGCAACTAATAGCAGCATTAATTTTCTTTTTTTCATTCTGAAAAAAACCTATCTTTACAACATTATTAAGTCTAAGTCCATAACAGAAAATCGGTTGAAAACGTTTAAAAACACAAACGAAGTTGCTGCCACAGTTACAAACAATGTTAACATCAGTGAATGAATTAATTCCATAGAGTTCCAAAGACTTTTGAAGAGCCTAAAAAAACTTTTGAACTCTAAAATCTAAATAAATTTCATAGGTTTTTGATGAACTGTGTAAATTCTCATCCTTAAGAACTTTTTTCTAAAGATATATCTTTATCAGGTAATCCCAACTTTGGTCGAAAAACTAAAATGTCGAAGTATATAAAGATCGAAAGGTAAAAATGTCGAAAAAAAATTAGACAAATGTCGAATGTAAAAATATCGAATTGAAAATAGTCGAAATATTAAAATATCGAAGGGTAGAAATGTCGAATTTGAAAATAGTCAAAATATAAAAATGTCGAATGGTAGAAATGTTGAATGGGTGGAAAAACTGAAAAGTAAAAATGTCGAGGACGATGATTTCAGTTCACATCGATTTTTAGTTGATGATTTAAATAACAATTTTTTTTACTATTCAACGAGAAAAAATAAATGCATGAGAAAAATTAATTAAAAGACAAATGTGTAACTTGTTCAGTTGAGATAACTATTCAATAGAATTATTTCGCCTTTTTAGCTACAATCAAAGATAAACCGGCGAGAAGAGTTGATGCACCAATAAGATCATTAGTATAACGCTTCTATAACGTATTAATACGATTTTGTATAGCTGCTGTCCGTTGATTGTTTTTCTTTGATGCACCACTGGACCATTGAGTTATCGTGGACGTTACATTCTTTTCTTTTTTTTGTAAAAAAGTGAAGAAAAGACAAATATTTGGATGATTACGTTGTAGTCGACAATTCATCCGATTGTGATATCCTTTAATAAAAAGAGGAATACTGGTTAAAGTTTATTTAATATATCTTGTTTTACCTTGACAATTATTGTTTGTCCGCACATCAGATTCAGATACGTTCCATAAATCCACGTCGTTCATCCAGTTATCTTCAAAATATTCCAACAACTCATCCATTGACTGATCCGGCAGTTTACAAGCATCTTCCTGTATTTCATCGAAGCTGCTCTTGACTTAATCTGTTGGCATTAAAACCAGTGCCATTAACTTTCGACACAGGCAACGGCATGTTTCATCTTCTGTATACTGCTGTTGTAGTCCTAGAGATTGTATTTGGCGGTACACTGCTTGACAGAAGTGGAAGAAACATCCCATATGTTTCGAACCTGGAAACTGAAAACGAATTAATTGATAAGAAATTTTTTTGTTAATTCATGCAGAAAATGCTCACTTCCAATATTAATACAGGAAGTACTGCAGATCCAAAATCAGTTGTTATCAACATGGGTGAGAAACACTTACCACGTTCAGATGCGATCTCCTTTAGTTTGACAAATATATGTTTATATGTAATCGACTTTTTATTTACTAGCAGCCCAAATACACATGGTAAACCTAAAAAAACATCAAATATTTACTCGAGAAGACTTTCATTTCTACTTACAAATATCAAAATTCACCGCATGGATAATGTTAATTTGACGGAAATTAGGTGGTGTTTTGCTGAACGTTCCATCCATAGATACTATAGGTGAATTAAACAATAATTCGAGTTGCTCGTCGCTTCCGAACAACAAAATACGTTCTGGTCTGACGGGCGACCCATCATACAACAAAAAACGTTTGCCATCCATTGTAGATTTATATATATCTGGAATGGTGAATAAGCTGGAATGTGGTAATGCTGGTGATGTTTTTCGACGAGCTTTGACAATACCTTGATCTATCAATGAATTGTCAAATAACATTTCGATAAGAATCTAAAAAATGCTTACAAATTTCAGTGTTAGTTCGAAAGATAGCCAAAGCCGATCGAGTCATGGCCGCTTTGGCAATTTCTTCTTTATAAATCATACCGATTGGCGTTACTTCGTTGAGAGCACGTTCTTTCATCTTCTGACGAACCTGTTTCACTTGAATCAGTTCGGGATTTGGTGCATGAGAATGAGAATCTGTACCACCACTAGAGTATTCATTGTTTAATGAAGTGTGAACATACACTTGACAGTCTTTAACGACATACACCCAATACTTTGTGTTTGCCTGTGTCTTATTACGTTTGTATACATAATTATGCATTACTAGCAACGGTTAATTTTTGTTTGATTTAATAAAAGATATATTGTTGAAATTTTTCTTTAGAAGTGCTGTTGCTTGCAGCCATAATGATTGTATATCTGGTTTGTAATACCGACAAAATTTTCGCTCGCTTTATTTGTATTATATTATGTCTTTTATTGTGTTTTGTTCACATTCGTCTATAGTGTTGTCGTATATATATTGGTCGATAAAATTTTCCAATAAACTTTTGTCACAACACTATTTCGAGATATATGTTATTCAGTGACATCTCCGTTCATCATTTCAAATGTCTTTCTTTATTATTCCTCTTAAATTGTCTCGAACACCCAAAGTCTTATCATTTTCATACTTCGACATTTTTACTTTCGACCAAAGTTAGGAGAATCCTTTATCAACGCATTTAAAGTATTTTCAGCTGTTCTTTTTCGTATTCAAATGATTTACAACAAAGATCAATTGATTTGAAACTATATTCGAAATCGACAAATATTATAGTAACATCTAAACAAGAAATCTTTTTATATGAATCCATCCAATAGTCTGGGCGTATTGTTGATGAACGTTCCCTTAAGGGAACTGATAACGTTACTTTAATCTGACTACGGAAACTATCAGCAAAAATCATTATGTGCCGTGAAATGGTTTTTTCCACCACGCGATGCATCATTAATATTAAATGCTCCATAAACGGCGCCTGAAACATACATATAAAAAGAAAATTATAACATGCATATTTTAATTTCTTTACCTAAACGAATAAATTCTTTTGCTAAATTTCTAAAATCAGAATCAGCTAAAATACTGAAACGTCTGATATCACTATAAATGTATTTTACAGATAAATCTTTGATTTTTGTAACATCACCTTCAGTAATTTTAACACCTTTAGTAAAGCCCATATTATTTAATGTTGTCCGTTTTGATCAATTAAAGGTAATAGATGATGATGTTGTAGACTTCACTAATGGAAAACATTTATCAGCGTGTTGCTTAAAGTGTTTTGAGCCGCTTAATCTATTGTAAAGATATGTATTCATACACTTGAAACGACTAATAAATCTAGGAATTCTTTTTAATTCATTACTATCATTTAAATGTGCAGAATAGCTGTAAGCTCGCCACTGTAAAGCCTTAGTTTCCGCTTCATTTTTTATTACTTGATACTTATTTTTTCCAATCAAGAAGAGGTGCTTGATTTTCTCAGGTGTGAAAGTGTGTGAATTTGAATGTGATGACAACGATGAATAAGATGATGATGTATCAGAAGACATATTTTGTTCACAAATTATCGTTATATCATCTTACGACATTGTTTCATCATTAAATGATGAAATTATAGATAATATCAGTTCTCAAACATAAAGTTCAAAGATAACAATGTATGTAAAAATGATAAATTCATAGATCTAATACGCAGTAGCATTGTTCATTGTCCCTTACTATCATTGTTATTAAAATAGACCAGAGTTTATCCGATGAAAATATTTTAAAGTGCCATTATAATTTCTCGTGATATTAAGGGTACCCCCCCCCCTTCTTTTTCCACCCTTCCTGGATCTCGAAGACAGTAAGGCCGATCGGCTTGAAATTCTTGTCACAGATAGAACATCTAAGTTGATCAGACACGTGTTCGAGGAAAAAATTTTCAAAGACGACTTTCTTAATTTTTTTTGAAAACCTTTGGTTTTTCATATGTTCTCATCTTGCCTTGGACGACCCCCTCTCCCCCCTCCCCCCCTTTAACTTTTGCGGATTGGGCTGAAAAGTTTTTTGACGATACCTATGAGTATATCTCAGAGGTAGTTTTCAGGATTTTCAAAAATCTTACTTACTTTTTCTTTTATAACAAAAAAAATACATAAAAGTTTTTGCCGGAACCTGATTTCTGACCTTGAAAACCCTATAAACCAGGACGGAAATATCAGAAATGAAAGCGGCCGATTCTACCTCTGGAGGATACTTGAAAGTATCTCTGATAAACTTTTCAGCACGATCGGACAAAATTTGAGGGTGATCGTCCACGGCACAACTCGTTACTTTGCTTCAAAAACTAGTTTCGAGAAAAACATAAAAAGAAATTGATAACTAGCTGATTTTTTTCAACTTTTTTATGAACAACTTTTGATGGAAAGTCTTCTGAAAGCAGACAAAAAAGGTTTTTGAAAAACTTTTTTTTGGGCGAGAGATTTTTGTGGAGAATCGATAGAAAATGAACGGCAGATGCGATCGAGGTTTTTCAAACGCCGATTGAAATACCAACAGATGGTCTATCTAGGACACATATAAAAAAAATTTTGTTAAAACAAAATTTTGGTAAAAGAAGAGGGGGAGGGCGGTACCCTTTGTATTAAAATACCAAAATTTTTATTAAAATGTAATTTGTATAAAAACATTAGCAAGGTGAAAAATCTTGCTCCGCCTCGCCTGTGCCTGGCTCTATCTGCTCTGCCTGCCAAACAGAACAGAGGAAAAAAACAATTTTCCCCTTTGAGACACGACAGGACAGGACGTCAGGGCGGCCTTGCTGTTTGACGATCTCTGATCTCCAACATAGTGGTCCCTTGAAAACAACGAGGGCAGTATTTTTAGCTATATGTTTTACCACAGTTTTGTATCTCTTGAGAAGCTCTATCTATTTTGAAACAATGACGCTGTGTCGACGAGTCGTAAAGAAAATTTACCAGATGAGACTGTGCTAATCAATAGAATTTTATGGATTTTTCCTAGACTGATCCCTAAAAAATCTGGAGCGCAGTGTATTTACCCACATATTTTGACATCATTTTGTAGCTATCAATGAGGTCTATCCATGCTAAAAAACTGGCATTGGCTCTATGAGCAATAGTGAATTTCATACTGACACAACTTCACAATCCATGACTTTTCTCCATGTTTTTCATAGTACGTTCTTCAGGAAATCTCGAGTGGAGCATTTTTACTCACATATTTTGGCATCATTTTGAAGCTCTCAATGACTTGTATCTACCGTGTAAAAATGACGCCGGTTCAACGAGTCATAGTGAAGATCATATGGGTGACACTTCACTATTGACTAGAAGATTTGCTATGTATGAGACTGTGGTGGTACGTTCATGAGTTATCCTTGGAAATGCTTTGAAAGGTGGATAGTTTAAGTCAGAAATAACGAGATAGTTTAAGAGAAAACGTATGACGTAGTATACGAATGGTTTCTGTGAAGATTTGCATTTAGGGTCGTTTGGTGGACAAATCATCCACCGTCCTTTAATGTTATATTACATTATACTATATAATAACAATATTTTATTTCATATTATATTATAACATCCTAGTTTAGATTACTTTGTTATTTTATGTTATTGTATTGTTAAAACTTTGATGATGTCATTATTTTATTTTATTTTATCATATTTTATTTTATTTTAGATTACGTTAGAAGTATATTTTATTGCCAGATTATATGAGATTATACTATATTATTTTACTTCATTTCATTTTATTTTAGTTCAATTTTTTTTATATTATATTATATTATATTATATTATACTATATTATTATATTATATTGTTTGATTTTATATTAGCTTACGATATTATTTTATTCAAGATTATATCATATTGTATTCTATTGTTTTCTTTTGTTTTCCTTTATTTTGTTATATAACAGTATATTAATATATTGCATGTTATAATATAATATTATTTTTTTTTCATTGTTATATTTTATGTTATTTTATTATCTTTTTTATTTTATTTTATTTTATTTTATTTCATTTTAGTTTATGTTATTTTTCTTTATTTTTGATGACGTTATTTTTTTATGTCAAGGTATTGTATTTTATTTTAGTTTATAATTTTTCTTATCTCGCTGGAAAGCAAAGAATATTTTTTTTTCTTAATTCAATAAATAAACTTGGTATAGAACACTCTGACGTCTATTGCTACTGATTTATTTATATATTGAAGAGCAACGATGTTGAAAAGACGTACGACATAAAACTAATAAAACATTAATCGCAACTAAGATCTTTAAGTTATCAATTCCTTTGTTAAAATGTTCAAATAGGATAGTTACTAATACAATAGTAATATGAATATATTATAAGTCTTTGGATAATGTAATTTCTTTTTCTTTCATTATTCACATCAAATAAGTAAAGGTCGTAAATGATTATTGTCTTTATTAGCTCTTGAACTAATTAGTTCCTAAATCAAATCAAATCAAATCAAATCATATCATAATATGAAACGTTCTAAGAGTTTTGAAACTATTTGAATCATAAAAATAAAACAATCAAAGAAAATTAAAAAAATAAAATGAACTTTGTTCGTAAACTGATTCTCTTCTACGTCGTTGTTTTTTTTTGAAACTTGTTATCTACATCAATTTACTAAAAATATCTCTTTCTCTCTATGATAATGATCTGAAAGTGATATTAACAATTGCGTCAAACAGTCAACTGAAGCCTTCGATTATCTTACATTGAGTTTCATGTTAATGAGCTTGTTAATGTGATCTTCTAAATTGATAATTTTATATCGAAGTAAAAATCATGACTTCTCGTATTTTCTTACCTAATTAGACGATTTGAAATCATTTTCAAAAATGATTTTAATGATCTTCAATTTCTCTCCCCTTGTTATTATAAATAGTCAATAGATTATTATTACAGGTTGTTTTGTTGTACTTGTTATTTCTATTTTTTTATTTCCATGTCTTTCTAATTTGTCGTCTCTTTTTTTCTTTCTGTATCTATCTCTCTATCTCCCTGTTTTATCTCTCTATCTTTTTATCTCTTATATAAGCTCGTACTTAAAATTAAAAGAAAGTGATAGTTGGTTACGTGAAATACCTAAACAATACTACTGCTGTGACTTGTGTCATTAGTTCATACTATATTTCAGTTTTTCATTTAACATTAACAAACAAAGGGGGTTAACATGACGATTGCTACTTATAATGTTTCATGGATTATTTTAGGACCTCTGATTCCATCTGTTTTGGTGAGTATATTTAATTTGTATCATGTATTCAGCAGTCGAGCACTTCTTAAAGCGCTCAACAATCATGTTGTTGTTCTGCTTCTATGTTTTGGACTAGTATACGAACTTACACTTGATATATTGTATACAGTCATTGATCAAACCCTTGTTGCTCCAATACAAACACCTGCATTTTGTTATGCATGGGCATTATTAAATTCATCTATACCCATAATTATTTATCTTTTAATGGCCTGGGCAGCAATTGAACGGCATATTCTAGTTTTTCATGCAAATTGGTTTGGCACTCAAAGAAAACGCATTTTATATCATTATACACCATTGGCTCTATGCATTATATGGCCTATGGTTTTTTATATTACCACATTATTCATTATACCTTGTTCTTTTCCATTAAATTACAAAGTCAATGACTGTGGTTTTTATTCATGCATTACAAGATTTGCTTGGCTTGCATTATTTGATAGTATTGGACATTATATGGTGCCAATATTTCTTATTGTAATTTTTAGTGTCTCTCTTTTTGTACGCGTACTGTATAACCGGTATCGCGCACGTGGACAAATTGAGTGGAAAAACTACCAAAAAATGGCACTTCAATTATTACCAATATCAATGCTTTATATTGTACTACAGTTTCCATGGGTGCTTATGTATGCTCTTTATTCAGCTGGTGTACCAAGCAGTGCAGGTGCCAGTTTTTATCACGATATTCGATCATTCAGTAGTTGGGCTATTCTCTTTACTCCATTTGCAACTGTAATGTCATTGCCTGAATTAGGAAAAAAATGTCGACAACTTATTTTCTTTTGGCGACCACAACGTGCTGTTCATCCTCAAGCATTCACAGTCAATCGTCAAAACGGTAATCAAACTGTCTTAGTACCATTAAAAAGAATGGCATCAAAAACACCAGTAGCAACAAAACCAGCAGAAGTTATTCAAACAACAACACAACCAACAGGTATTATTCAAACAACAACACAACCAACAGGTATTATTCAAACAACAACTGAACCAACAGGTATTATTCAAACAACAACTGAACCAACAGAAGCAACAACACCAGTAACAAAAATACTGCCAACAATGGCATCAGTAACAACAACACTAATGACAAAGCCAGAAACTGAAATGACACCAATTGATATATAATTATTCTTCAATTATCAAAATTAATACAAACAGAAGGTATCGTTGAAGAAGAAAAAATTACAGACGCTAGTTATTGTTGTAAAAGTATTATATATATATATCTTAATATTTCTAGTCAGTTGTTCTATTTTTTAGATAGCTTGTCAGCTATCATTCTATGTTGTATATCTACTATTTATTTCTTTTTAACAGTCATCATTTACATTATTAATATTGTATGATTTTCAGAGTTCTTCTTTGTTGTATGATTTTCAGAGTTCTTTTTTGTTGTATCATTTAAGAGTTCTTTTTTTATTGTCCTGTTCGTTTTATTTGTCAATAAAATGAGCTCAATTGTATCTCATTGCCGGGCTACAAGTTGAGCACAAAAAACAAAAACATTATCTTGTTAAACTATTATAGTAACATTAAACCTCTTAATATGAAAAAAAAAGTTACTGGTGGCATGAAATAAATGAAAATAATTAAAAATAAGAAATATATCATATTCAATATCTTTTCAAATGCCCAGGTGATTCGATCCGACAGTCGGATTCCGACGCAAAAACTATCGGATCTTATTAGATCCGATGGAGAATTCGCCTGAAGTTGTCGGAAGTTGCCGGAATCCTAGCAACAAGATTCCGACAAAAAAGGCATCGAATGTCGGAATAATCAGGATCCTGTCGAAACCTCTGAGAATCTGACACTTTCTGACATCCGGAACCGCATGTCGGAATCCTGGTGCGAGGATTCCGGCAACTTCCGGCGAATTCCCATCGGATCCGATAGGGTGAGTTTGACCTGGGTGATTTTATTCTCAAAAGAACATAACCGACATTTCCAAAATAGTCACACGTTGACAAGCCAAATAATCAAAACGTGGTTGATGAGATACGTCATAAATTGAGAATGAATGTGACTTACTAAAATATTGAGGATGTCTATGTTTTCAAGGCAAATATGATGAAATACAAAGATATGCCGTATAAATGAAAGTAGTGTTTCGACGTAGACTTCGGAGACAGACAACAAATTGAATCGAATCAAATGAACGTGTAGATATTCGGTTCATTCATCAAATAATATGAATACTGTAAAATCAGGCCAGAGGAAAATGTGATACATGCTCGGTCACAATTTAATGAAGACAAAGTTTATATGGTTACATAAAATATTCAAAAATAAATCTTTATCGTAGAAATCGATAGATAGAAGTCTGTCGAAAAAGAACATTATTTATCACAGTCGAATCGAACTCAAATGAATATTTACTTATTCATTTAGATCTCTGGTAAGTATAGACTTGTACAGAAATGTTTACTCTTTTGAACAGTATAAGTTTGTTAAAAATAAAGTTAAAAATAAGATTTTATTGTTAACAGATAAAAACGTGTAAGATAGTCAAATCATCCCGCATGCATTCATTAAGTATCAAAACATTCCAAACAGAAGTCATTAGACACAGTTTCTAGTAGGTCTTACTAAAAAGATTATGGAAGCGTTATGGGAAAAGATTTCGAGAAAGAGATGTTTTCTCTACAAGATCGAAGCCTGGATTTTTTCTACGGTTTATACAGAGAAGTTCTGGGAGTTAGAACACAAAAGTTATAACACTAGTCGACGTTCTTGTCCTCTTCTTTCCAGGTTCTTGTCTTTCTTGCTTTTCTGGCAAGATTCTTTTTCTGTTCTTTACATGCAAGATTCTTGCCTGAAAATTCCTTACATACAAGATTCTTGTCTGAAAAAACTGATCTTGCCTTTCTTGTGAGATTCGTGTAGACCGAATCTTGTCTGATGAGGCAAGAAATTCTTCTCCAAACAAGATTTTTGTTCTCTTACTTTCTTGCCTGGTCCTTGTTTTCCTTGAATTCTTCCCTGATTCTTATCCTTCTTGATTTTCTTGCCTGTTTCTGATTTCTTAGGCTTCTTGCCTGATCCTGGTCACAATAAAAAAGCCTTTTCTAGGTTATTACTATCATTTTTATTTTATTTTATTATAAGCTTTTCACACCATGTACAAAAAAATATAAAAGAACAAAAAAATACTCTAAATTTCACATATTCATGAAGTAGTTTTAGTTTTTAACATAAAAAATATAAAAAAATTCTTCTTATATTTATTTTCTTAAAATTTTACCTATACGAAGAGAATTATCAAACAATAGTTTTTTAAATAAATGGATATTTTCTTCGTCCATTGTATGTAATACTTTTACGGTAGTGAAGAAATCTAAAAAAAAATAAAATATTAAGATATGAATTAGAAAAATATCAAAATATGTTCAATAAGGATTGCTTTGAGGAAACAATGAGAAAATGGATATAATATATTCTATTGTTTTCTCGATGTAAAATAAACTTTTATTATACATCCAGTTAAAACAATAACTTACTAGACGTCGTTTGAATTAAATAAACGCGTTAGAAAAAGAAAATAATCTAAGTAAATTTGAACTATACTTATCGAGTCAGTAACGGTTATGAATAAATAACGTTCAGCTAATGCTCTTATATATGTGATAAACAAAGATCACATCACATTTCGTTCATCTTGCAAAGCTGGCAAGAATCTTTTTTCTTTTCTATTACAAGAATCTTGTCTGAATAACAAAGAAATTTAAAATATCTTGTGTTTCTTTCCCGGCTCTTGTTTTTCTTGATTTTCAGACAAGATTCTTTTTATCTTGAACTTCAGTCAAGATTCTTTTTAAAAGGAAAGCAAAAGATTCTTGTCTGAATATTAAACATATCTTGAATATCTTATACTTCTTGTCTGATTCTTTGATTTCTGATTGTACAGACAAGATTCTTGTCAACTGGAAATTCTTGTGTGATTCTTTTTACTTTCCTGTCGAAAAGAATCTTGCCTGAACGCAAGAATCTTGTCTGAAAAGCAGGAAAAGCAAGAACCTGGAAAGAAGAGGACAAGAACGTCGACTAGTGAAAGTGTGTGCTGAATTATCCTTTGTTTCTCTAATAAAATGTATCAAGAACATGAATAATAATATTAATTTTGATAATTCAGCATAAAATCCAAAAGTCCTTTTAGTTTATTTCACTACTTCAACAATATTTGTTAGAAAAGATATAAGGTTGTTCATAAAAGAGAAAAGACACAAGAAGTTATTGAAATTCAATCAAAATTTACATGAATATATAAAGAAAAAAACTAAGATAGATATAAATTTTTCAAAATGTGTGAAAATAAAATTATATACCTTTTTATTTCCAAATCCATTGAATTGATACATTCACTTCTAAAAAAATTTATCAAACAAGTAAATTTCATTGATAACAGTGGATAAATGCAGGTTTAGTATTTGTATAATAACATCGATTCTAGAACATTTATTAATTTACAAAAATTTACAAGAATTCCCAGAAATAACAAATAAAAAAAACGCTATTTAAAAGTTACGCTTATAAATCAGTACAATTAATATACAGAGTATTTTAAACGGACTTAAACCAAGATGGAGACTGAATATTTAGCGTCATTTAATTAGCGATGGCCAACAGACAGTTGTGCCATTGCAAGCTGTGTATATAATCCTCCCTTTGTCAATAGTTCTTTATGTGTACCCTAAAATAATATTTAATCTTTTATAAAGAAGAAAGTCAATTTCATACTTACTTCTTCTCTTAATTTGCCTCGATTTACAACAGCAATTTTTTCGGAATTTCGAATTGTTGATAAACGATGAGCAATTGTTAAGCATGTTCGACCTATGCGTGCTTGATCTAATGTTGATTGAACAACTTTTTCGCTTTTATTATCTAATGCTGATGTTGCTTCATCAAGAAGAAGAATTTTTGGATTACGAATTAAAGCTCGAGCAATAGCAACTAAAAGCATAAATCGTTTATAAAAAGACTTTTTTTAAACAAATATTTACTTCGTTGTTTTTGTCCACCAGATAATTGACTACCTTTTGCTCCACACATTGTTTCATAGCCCTAAAACATCAGTAGAATAATCTAGGATAAACAAAAAAGGTGAAGAAACCTGAGGAAAGGAGATAATCAATTCGTGAATATTAGCCATTCGAGCAGCAGTTTCAATTTCATCTTGTGTTACTTGTCGACTATTATCACCATATGCAATATTATCACGAATAGAAATATTAAAAAGAACTGGTTCTTGTTGAACAAGACCCATCAATGATCGAAGCCATCGAATATTCAAAACTTTTATATCATTTCCATCTATTAAAATTTTTCCTTTTATTGGATCATAGAATCGTTGTAACAACGCCATAGTTGTTGATTTTCCACATCCTGATGGGCCAACAAAAGCTGTCGTATTACCATTTAAACATTTCAATGAGAAATGTCTTAAAATACGGAGATTTGGTCGAGTTGGATATCGAAAACAAACATCATGAAATTCAATATTACCCACAAAATCTTCCTAAATAATAATAACAAAAGATTTCATTGGTATGAATCGAGAAGATGTAGCTTATTACTTCTGCCAAAATGATCCCCGATTCCTTATTAGGATCAATTTGTGATTGTCGGTGATGAAGTTTTATAATTCTTAATGCGGCTAGTTTAGCTTTTGAATAATCAGGAACCGTATTCAATGAACGACTAATAGTAAATATAGACAGTGATATAACAGCATACACTCTTTCATAAAAAATATATTTAGATAAAAGTAAATATTAATCACAAACTATTTTACCTGTACACTCGATCGAATTGTAACTCTCCATTGTTGACGAGGTCACTACCATATCCAAAACATGCGGATGCAAAAAAATACCCTACTGAACTAGATATAGCATCACCTAGAGCTATCAGGTGTATTTGACGTATTCGTTTTCTAAATATTTCAGTGATTTAGAAAAATCAATTGAATTGAGAGAAGTCGAGCGTAATACTTAAATTCTGCATTGAATGCATCTTGATAAAGTTGGATAAAACAATTTTCTTGATGAAGAGCAACGACAGTACGAATATGTTCGATTGCTTGTGTTGCATGCTAAAACAAGAAGCAGCCATAAATATAAATG